AAGACTTTTGGATTTGTGTACTTCATGTAAGTTACACTGCAGTAAAAATAAGTTTAAAAAGAAAAAAAACTCAAGTCAGATTGAATTAAGAGTACAAGTAGAGAGTATTAAATTGTCTCTGAAATATTCAGGAAGCTATTGTTCACCAAATCCTGAAATTGTACTTCTTCAATCTCAAAGGAAGTTGTTTTAAAAATACAACTGCAGTGTCAGCCTTTATTCTATAACTGAATGAAAAGACCGTAGCTCGTATTTTTTACTCTTCATGTAATGCCAATCCATAGCTGAATGAATTCATTGACTACTACTACATAAGTAACAGATGTAGCCACTTACCCGCCCGCCATGCCTCTCCGAAGAGACTGCATTCATATATTCACATGAATGTATGTGTACAAAAATATACCAAATTAAGATACTACAGTTAGAATTCTATGTGGTTAGTTTTAACTGTCAACTTGACAAAACTAGAATCCCCTGGGAAGGGAATCTTAATGAGGAATTATCTAGATCTGGTTGGCCGTTAGCCATGTCTGTGGGAGGGAGATTGTCTTGATTGTTAATTGATGTAGAAGGAAGACACAACCCACTGTGGGGAGGGCCACTCCTTAGGGAGTCCTGAACATAGGAGAGGGAAAAGTTAGCTGAGAGAAAACAAGCAGGGCCCGAGTTTACTCTCTCACTGCTCCTGACACAGGGAGCGATGTGATTAGCTGCTTGAATTCCGGCCTTGACTTGGCCAAAACGATGACAATAACTTGGAATTGTAAGCCAGATAAACCCCCTCCTCCTCCTCCCCCTCCTCCTCCTCCCTGTGGTTTTTGCTTTTTTTGGTCAGGGTATTCGTCATAGCAACAGGAGTGAAACAGAGACAAGGTCTTTCAAACTCTAGGTCTACAAATGCGACGTCGCATAGTCAAGCTCCTCTAGCAAACAATGCACACTTAACTTTCACTTGGAGATTTTACAGTACATATTAACTTATTGGAGACTGAAAAAAGTTATACAGCAAGGAAACTCTTTTTTAATGTTTCCAAACCAACAGGATTTTTCTAAACAAATGCCATAAAGGGCTTACTTTCCCACATAATTCGTTATATCTTTATACCATCAAGTTTTAAAGAGTGTATTTCGAGAAATGCTAATCCAGACAAATCCATGGATGGCAAACCCACAGAGTATTATTAGATAGTGGATGTCAAAAGCTTATCTTTAGCCTATGAGGACAATGTTATAGAGGACAACTATCCCATTGTACCATGTCTGCTGCTTCTGTTTTTAGGAACAGAAGAGCTGAACTATAAGGACTATTATTTTAGCTTGTGGAAATCTTTATTAGAGTCTAAAGAAGGAAACTACAGAAAGAGGTGATAAAGGTACACAGAGATGATTTAAAAACCTCTGAGAAGAAAGAGCAATAGGATGCTAAAGCGAGTGAGGTGACAGGCTGGAGAAGACACGGAGAAAGTACTAGATAATCACAGTAAGTCTTTACGAATAGACATTTCCCAGTGGGTAACAATCTTTACCCTCACTGAGATAAAATAAGATTCGGTCCTAAGCTACAGAGTAGAAGATTAAAATTAGATTTTAAGAGGGAACTCTTGACTAAAAGGATGTGAAAATATTGGGGGGTGAGCATACAAAGAATAGATTTTTATGTTGTTGTCAGTCTTGGAGAGATACGTATTTGTCGTAGCCATGAGCTCTTTTGGTTTTGGTTTTGGTCTCATTTTTTGTTGATGTTTGCTTTGTTTTATTTTGTTTTTTTGCTAGAAGATAAAAGACTAGGAGTTGTAGGTAACTTTCTGGACAATGAACTTGTGAGGCTCCTGAGGCTGTGACCTGCCATTGTCCTTACTTGAATTTTCCCAGCCATGAGTCAGCAACGGCTGCTCCCAAGATGGGGGTGAAATAGCAGAGGCTGCTGAAGGCATGGTATACAGATGTGGAGGTGTCTTCATTCCAGTGCAGGAAATACAGGAAATACAAGGTCAGCACAGCTGAGAAGAAACAGAAGAAAACAAACGGGAGGCAAATAAGATAGATGCAATAAAACAATTTACAGAGAAATAATTTGATCTCAGGGCTCTACAGATGTGCCTGGCCTTCAGCACTTCTACTAGTGAAATCACTGAGTGATGACTGCCAGGCAGGAGAAGCAGGGCCCATGGGAACTATGAAGTCAATGAGGCATGCTGGATACACAAACACAATACTCATCCCTTCACTCTTGGTGCACCCATAGCATCATTTAGACCGTGAGAAGTTAACATGGTACTTCCCATAGCCCTTCCACCTCTCCTTCCCAGCAACAACATAGTTCGATGGAATTCACATGATGAGAGCTTTTTCACTGTGTTTTCATTGACTATGTGTTGGATCTGCTGGCCTTTTTGATCTTAACCGGCATGAGTTATTAAATAAAATCTCACAAGGCATTTACTATCATGGCCAAAGGGAAGGATAGACTTATACCAAGGCAGAAAGAATGGACAAAGGAAACAAGTGCTTGTAAGGAGACCAGGCTGCTGTAAACATAAGGCAGAACACTCTGGGACACAGAATTACCTTTCATGCCATAATAGGAAAAACGCTCGCAGAATTCATTCACCACGATGAAGGCGATGCTGAGTGGATAGCTGGAGCCAAAGATTTTCTGTTCAACAAAGAGGCAAAGGGGGAGGCATGAGCTGTTTTCCCGTTTAAACTTCATGATAAGTCTACACCTGAAAAACATATCTTCAGATATATGGGTATGAAGAGGTTCTCATCATGTTGCCCAGGCTGATCTCCATATTGTGATATGCCTGTCACAGGCTCCCAGAGAGCTCAGGTTGCAGGTGAACCCCACCATGCCTGGCTAAACTCATTTTTAGATAATTGTTGTTAGTTAACATGTAACAGTGGTCTCTTCATAAAACATATATTGTCATACTAGCTGTGCTCATATGGTCAACGTGGGGGTAAAAAAAAAACCCAGAATTTTACTTAGTTTGTTATTTAACATGGAACTGGTCAGACAGTCCTTGGTCAGGACCTGCTCATCTTCCCACAATATCTCAATTAAAGGCTATGGCTGTAGACAAGAGGATGATCATACTTATTGTTAAGAATAAAATGAAAAGATGGCCTTTGGAGTGCCTGATATGTAAGCAGTCAGAGCCAGATCTCACTATCTCACATGGCTGCCTTACAGAGACTGACTGCCATATTTACCATTCTGGGAGAAATCTTAACAATATGATGACGTCCTTTTCATAGGCAGCTGAAGTCAGGCACAGAGATCAAAATGGAGGCCAGACACTCCTAAAGGTAAGCTGATCCATCACCTTAACTCTAAGAGGCGAATTCTGAAATCCTGTGAAATTAAGTGTCCATCCTCCACACTAGTACGCTTCCGTAATATCTCCTTTTAAATTTTATTTGTATTTATACATGTATGTGTTTGTATATGTGGGAGTGTATGCCATGTGTATGTGGGTGCCTGCAGAGGCCAGAAACAGGTGCTGGATCTCCTGGAGCTGGAGTTACAGGTTGTTGTGAGCTGTCTGACATGGGACCTAGGAGCCAAATTTTGGAAGAACAGTATGTGCTCTCAACTGCTGAGCCATCTCTCCAGCACCAAGATTTTCATTTGCAGCCTGCACATTAGAGGAACTGTGCTATCTCATGTATTATATAATTCAGACTATAAAGAATATCATGCTTTTATTTCAAATCTCTTTCCATTACAATAGCTCCACTAATATGGAAAAGGGATAGAGATAATCTGTCTCTTGGGACACTAAACATTAACATGAGATTTATATGCTCTTTTATTTCATAGCTATGTACCTCTTTTTAATCATCTTTAACAAGACATAATATGAGTAACTATATATAATAAATTAATAGAGTCTGTCTTCTACCCATGTAGATATGAATAAACCATCTTTCTACATGCATGTTACTACATGATAATAACTTGCTTGAAAGATGCAATGAATTGAAATATTATCTTCCCAGCTCCCAGCTCGAGAACTACAGAACACAGAATTTATTTAACAGTAACTGTGGGCACTGTCAGTAATTGGATTAACATTCAAACCTTACTTAAGCTCCATTGCTACCCTGTCTCTGTGTTTCAATTCTGTTATTCCAAATAAATAAGAATCATACTAAGCTCATGGTTGATAGTAAGAATTCAGCAAATATTGGCTACTATTACTGTAGCCTCTCTATGGAGAGGATTTTACTATTATATGAGGATGAACTGAGGTGATAAATTCGGAAGTACTTTAACAAGCACATAATGCAAGATATTATTCTTTGTTCCTCTCTCCGACCTCCCACTTTAAAGTAGGGACACTTATAAACAGAGAGTAGGTCTATTCTAAACTTCTGCTGGTGTCCCAAAAGAGAAGGCTCTGCACACAAGGGGAACTAAAGGCTGAGCTTTCGGATTGGTGAAAGAACAATCACATACAGTTCTCCAGACAGGAATGCTTGCCAAGTTTCCCTGGACATTCAAAGTGCTTTTTCTCCCCCAGGGAGTATGCAATGAAATACAGCAAAACTCTGGGGCCCAACGGGACAATTCTGGCTAACCTATCCCGTGGCTTCCTTCCGGAAACAGAAGAAACTAGAATTAGTTTTCAGGTGAATTCTAATTCTATGAGAGAGTAGTTTTTCTACTCTACTACAGCTCAGCGTGAAGTTCCAACAGCCAAGGAGGAACTTCAAAAGAGTGCGTACGCTGTTATTGTCAAGAGACAAACTGAATTTGGGGACTCACCGGAGGTGGCTTCTTTGGAGGACTTGGAGGTCTAGGCAGCACCTCTTCGGTAGAGACAGGTGAAAAAAGAGTTTCCTTGGACTCATTTTTCTGGAAGGGATTCATGGCTGGCTCCTTACTCTCTCTCTCCTCAAGCATTTGGCTTCAGTAGGCAGTTAGGATAGCTGCCAGCCTACAGTGAAAAGGGGGACTGGGGAGGAGGAGGGATGGCTACAGCAACTAGGTTTAACCCTGTGGGTGTCAGTTTCGGGAGCTGCTGGCCTCAGAGCAGAGCTGGAAGCTATAGACGAGGAGAAAGTCGGCACACCAACTTCAAAAGAATGTTTGTGTGAAAGGTATGGTACGAGGAAGAACAACACGTCACAAGTCACAAGACGAAAAGAAACAGTGCTAGCGAATTGATTAGAGGTATCTGTTTCAGAGAAGTATCTTTGTGAAGGAGTGCCAGAGAGTACTCAAGAATGCAACATCTTGGTTAGGGATAAAACTCAGTGGGAGAGCACTAGCAAGGTCCTGGATCTGATCGTGAATGATTTGGGGGGAAAAAAGAATACAACATCTTAAATACAGAAGGCTGATTTCAGCTTAATAATATCTGCCATTGTAGGGCACTTATCATGTGCAATGTTAGTATAATTATGTTACATGTTATATAGGAGCTATATGCATGTTATATGGGAGCATATACAACCTATAATTTTGTTTACTATAAATTTTACTGCTATCTCCATTATACAGAAATTATTGTTTCAAGACATTGAGAAGCTTATCTAAAAATCAAAGGGCCAGTAAAGTGGCAGATCTGGAATTTTCACTATGCGGCAACAGATAGGAAAGGCAGAGATAGGTATCAACACTGACCCTGCAGGCTCTGCAGGTATGGAAGCCATGGACATGTAGGACTGTAAGGAAATCAAAATGCTTTGAGCAGGGAAAATCATCTCAAAACTGAAGCTGAGAATAAGCGTGAAATTGACCTGGGTTTTCAATATTGCAACATTCAGCTAGAAAAACCTGTAAATAAAAAAGATAGTGCTAAAAAAAAAAATGATGGATCAATGGGCGGTGGTGGCGCATGCCTTTAATCCCAGCACTTGGGAGGCAGAGGCAGGAGGATCTCTGTGAGTTCGAGGCCAGCCTGGTCCACACAGTGAGTTCCAGGACAGGCTCCAAAGCTACAGAGAGAAACCCTGTCTCGAAAAACCATAAAAAAAAGAAAGAAAAAAAGAAAAGACAAGAAAATGATGGAAGGGCTGGAGAGATGGCTCAGCTGTTAAAGGCTAGACTCACAACCAAAAATATAAGAGAATGACAGAAAAAAAATGTTGGTGATGTCCTTTGCTAAAGCCACTCCTTCTCCTTGAATTTCAATTTCTCACTTCCAGATTAATCCATTCATTTTTTTAAAAAATAAAATTTAGCCGGGCGGTGGTGGCACATGCCTGTAATCCCAGCACTCGGGAGGCAGAGCCAGGCGGATCTCTGTGAGTTCGAGGCCAGCCTGGTCTTCAGAGCTAGTCCAGGACAGGCTCCAAAGCTACAGAGAAACCTTGTCTCGAAAAACCAAAATAAAATAAAATAAAATAAAATTTAATTTTGTGCAAAAATTATGAACCAGTTCCTTTCCAGGTATTATTGCAAACATTCCGTTTTCCTAACTTTCAGTGGATTGACTTTATTCTTACTTTAGAATACTAATCTTAATTCGTATGAGAAGAAGGGGCTAGAACACACACAATGACAATAGATACATTTATACTCTACATCGAATCAAATGTATAGAACATTGGAATGTTATTAGCATATATTAATTCTATAGAAGTATTGGCTTTAATTAGGACATTTCCACAGAGGCACAATATATATTCCGAACACAGTCTCCCCGCCCTGCCTTCTCTCACTCCCCTTATTGCATTATTTTTTGGTCAATTCAAAGAGGTAAGAGAGGCACAAAAGAACCTAGTGCCCATGCATCTGTAAGTCAAAAAGCAAAGGAGAAAATATTGCCAAAGGCTATAAATTTTTTTTCTAAACCTTAAGATTGCACCATGAGGCATAAACCACCAAGTCAGACAATATCTACATGAGTAATTTCACTTGAGACTACGGAAAATTGAGAGTGGCGGGATAAGGAGAAGGAGGGCAATGTAGGGAGAGGGCAAATATCAGTTAAGTAAAATGCACATATACAATTTTTATGAAGAAATTCATTATCTTCTATGTTCACTAAAAAATTTAAAAAAAAAAGTCTATGGTCCTATTTCTTGAAAAATTTTTAATTACCTATTTAAATTATTTTTCCGCAAATGAAATCTTTTCCCCTCTAAACTTTAACTTGGACTTTGACCAGGTCTTCTCAGCTTTTATTAAACCCTTCATCTGTTTTCTCTCCCACCAACCTTTACCCAAGGAATAGTCCAGCTTTACTTCTGCCTGTAGCATTAATGATTAATCTGTAGTTATTCTTTTAGGAAATATTGCCTTTCCTGACCCACCTTGGTTAAATACTAAATCTAAAGTAGGTAGAAGTTTCTGGTCAGGTTAACTAGTAGGGGCACACGTGCCTTTAGATGGTATTACGTTCAGGCTTCCCTTGCACTGGCCTTGTACTTCTAGATGGCGTTTAATTTGGAAGCGCCCGTATGTAAATGCGCCAATTCACGCATGCGCAGAGGTCTCCCGATCACCAAACTCCAGAGTGTGAACTTGGGTTTCCAAACAAATTCCTATGAAATTTGTCTTTATGGGAGACTGGGTCTTACCTGGTCTCCACCTCCCTATTTAGCCAAGGATGACCTTGAATGTCTGATCCCCCTCCTTCTCCCTCCATTGTGCTGAATGCTGGGATTCCAGGAATGAGCCACCACTCCTAGTTAATATAGTGCTGGAGACTGAACTCAGGGCTTTGTGGATGCTAAGCAAGTGCTCTACTAACTGAGTCACATCCCAAAGCCCAAAATTCGTCTTTTGATTATGCCAGTAAAATAACAGTATTCACAGAATCAAATAACATCAGAGACGTAAGGAATCTTAAGGTTGAGTCTGTCTTTGGTAAATTCAGCTTCTCTGATGCTAAGAATCATTTAGAGCAGTATGAGATGCTCGTTGTGTTCTACTGTTTTTGTTAGGCTGGTCTCAAACAAGGCTGAAGGTCTAAGAGTAAACGTCCTTCACACAAGATGAATATAGACTCTCTAGAGACACAAACGACAAAAGAAATAGAAGAATCTGGATATCAGAATCAAATTTCGGTGACAGAGATAAAAGCCATTTGTGGCCTCTGTGATTTGACAGCAGCAGAGAGTAGTTTTAAGTCACTCACAGACATGAGCTCTAAAATGAGTAGTCGGAGGAAAGAAGCAAATATGAAATTCAAGTAAATATGTATTTAATAATGCCCAAAATATAAAAATCAGCGCCCCCACCACAAAATTGTATTTAAATATCACCACCAAGTAAATAGATAAGGGAACTTAAGTACCAGTCCTAATATCAAAAAATAAATGAAATGGAAGATGTTGAAGAGCTCAGCCCTGAAGCTATCAAATGTTAGTGAAAGAAAGAGGAAATTAAAGACTTGAATAAATGGAGAGATGCCATATTCATGATTTGGAAGGCTCATATTATAAAAACGTCAATAGTCCCTTGTATGTGGAGCATAAGATCCCAGTAGGTTTTAAGAATGTAAAAGAAAAAAATGACTATTTGATTCTTACAATTCAAACGAAAATATAAAACGTCAAGAATAACAAAGTCAATTTTGAAGAAAACTGTGGAAGATTTGAACTGCCCAATCAATACCTATTATGAAGCTATAGTAATCAGAATGTAACTGTCACCAAGATAGGCAAGGCAATCAATGGAACAGAATTCAGAGAAAGATCCATACAAATTCTGTCTTTAACAAAGCTAATACGTGTGTGTGTGTGTGTGTGTGTGTGTGTGTATGGTGCTTTCAATAAACATACCATTTGTAAAGGCTTATGGAGAAAAGTTTTTCATCTTTATACTAAAAAAAATAGATAAGTTCTTCATAGATTGAGGATTTAAGTATTAAAGTCAAAGTTGAGGTTTTTAGAATCAAATATAAGGAATATGTTTGTTACTGTGGAATAAGTCAAAATTTCTTGAAGACTATATAAAGTAGGGTAATCTTAAAAGAAAAGAAAGATGACATACTTAATATTAGAATTAATAAACACTGTTTGATAAAATATGCCATTAAGGATGAAAAAGTATATCCCAGTGGGAGAAAATGTTCATAATGTATGTATCTATCAAAAGTGATATGCCCACACTATGTAAGCAACTCCAAAAATCAGTTGTAGATGAGTAAGTAAATAAAAAATATTCCAAAGGAGCAAACAGATGTTTCTCAAATAGTCAATAAGTCTGCAAACAGGTCATCAATCATATGGGTGCAAATACAGTTCAACTATGATATATGAGTTAAATTTATCTGTAAGATAATATATAGAAGGGAGATTGCTAAGCCAAAATAAATGATTTTGAAAATTTTCGAATGATCTATCATTTTCTCTGCCCGTTTTTCTATTGAATTGTTAAACTTTGTAAATCTGTAAGATTTGAGTATTGCTGATATTAACACTGCCGTCCTTTGTGTTGCAAATGTCTTTTCTATTGACTTTAGGGACTTTTACAATTAAATATAACTTACAATGAAGTGCACAAATCATAAACATACAAGTCTATTGATTTTTACACACGGCTACCACACAGGCAAGGTAAAAAAATATTCTCTAGTTAAAAAAAAAAAATACTCTCTTCATTGCTGGAAGTCCTTCAAAGAATAATACCCATTGCTTGTCTTTTGCCTCCTAGTCAAATTCTCCTCCACTAGAGTAATCACTATTCTGTCATCAGTATGGATTTTATTTGCTTCTGAGTTTCATGTAAACAGAGTAACACTGTTTGTAATCTCTGTGTCTGATTCCTGTTACTCAATACTACATTGGTGAGATTCATCTCTGTTGTTGCCCAAAGCAAGATTTGATTTTCTTCTGTTTGGTCGAATTCACTATACAAATGTATCACTGTTTATTTAGCCATTCTTATGTTGATGGACACTTGGGTGGTTCAGCTTTGGTGTTGGCAATTGTCAACTTAGTTTCAACTGGAAACTGCTTCTCAGAATCACTTTCTCTGTTAGGCACCTGGTTTCCACTTGTGTGAGACTCAGGAAGTAGAAAAGAAAGCAGCAGGTGTTACCTGAGTGTCAGACTGGGGGGACATTAATGAGGGTCTCCTAATGGCCTTGTAAGTGTAGGCAATGCATTTGAAGTCTGTGTAACATTCAAGTCTGTAGGGTTTTATT